GGCATGTGGTGAGTTATCTGAGGTCTCTAGTGCCCAGGCATCCTGTTTCGTGAAGAAGTTTATAACTTTGAGGGAACTGGATGTTGGCAACTGACTCTCCTGCGCCCCCAATTTTTAAGTTTCAGGTGTAATTGCCTTTAGCCCTTCTTAACAACTTGTGACCTGCCAAATGCAGTTCTTGGCTCCTAAGGTACTAATGAAATTCCTTCCCTCATAGAACACAGGCTCACTTAAAAGGAAGCAGAATTTTCTGGTCTTTGGAGGGCAGGCAAAGAGCTCCTAGAGTAGATGGTCCACACTCACAACCCCAGGCTTGCAGAGGACTCCTCTTACCAGTTCATTCCAGGTAGGAAAGATCTACATTCTCCGTGGCCTGGGTTGAAAGAGGCCAGTCTCTAGGCACATGGAAGCCAAAAACCTTATCCAAATGTCAGCGATCCATCACCTCTGGACAATCCAGAATTAAAGAGAAGGGCGGTCTTGTTGAGAACCCACTAATGGAATTCCCAGAAATAGATCCCATGCTGGATGAAGTGATGGATGGGAAACAGGATAATTTCTCTCCAGGCTTTCTAGTTATATCAAAGAACAAAATGACCCATTGGAAGAACACAAACTGTATTTCTCTGGAGTATGACTAGGGCAAACCTGAACAGATCCGATGTCCTTTCAGGGCCCCAGGTTGGCCATCCATGCCAGCAGAGCATTAGACAGCAACCCATGCATAGTGTACTCCATCTCTGTGACCTCTCAGACACAACTGCCTGCTTCTCTTTGGTTCCTTTCCCCAGAAGCCAGTGTGCTATGTTCACAAGTAGGAAGGGCAGGTCCCTAGGCTCCTCTCCAGAGAGCAGGCCGAGAACCTCAGGAGGCAGAGCCTGTGTCCCTGGGAACTGACTCTCGGGTCCTGTTGCTATCCCTTCCTCCCAGGCCCAGGCAATACAGACAGAGCTTTGAGGCCTACACTGAAATGGGTTTTGCTTACTTAGTAACACACAACTCAAGTCTAGCAATCACTTTTCTGGAATATGCCTTAACTAGCATGTCTGCAAAGTCCAGAGTGTTTGCTTGTGGAGATCAGAAATGCTGCCTGCACACAGTGTCCAGTGTTAAGGGTCTTAGAGCTCTAAAATCTGGTCTAATTTTAAAGTTTGCATGTTTGCACTTTATCCATGCTCCTCTTAATAACGTGGCAGCTATTGCTACCACTGCCAATTGCTGACTCTTCTTGCCTAAGCCAGGTGGTTGCCTCTCTGCTATTGAAGTGTCCACATTAATTAGCTTGTTGGCCAATGTGTTTCCGTTGGTTGAGCTTTGTCCTGAGCACCAAAAGGTCGCTGGTCTGATTCCCAGTCAAGGCACATGCCAAGTTGCTGGTTAGGTCCCCAGTCGAGGTGTATGCAGGAGGTAACCAACTGATGTTTCTCTTTCTCTCCCTTCCTCTCTCTAACAAAACAAAAAAAAAAAAAAATCAACAAAAACACTTTTTAAAATGACTTAAAAAAATTAGCTAGTCTGCCTTTGTATATCGACTCTGTGTGAGAACATACACCTTAAGGAACAGGCAGAGGCATGTGAATTCTGTAGCAGATGATGATACTCTACAAAACCCTGACCATGCTCATACTATTTGTCCAGCTTGGAGATTTCTACTGGGTCATTCAGAGCCAGCTAACCAAGCCTCGAAACACATAGTACAAACCCAGGAAGGCTGTACTGTGACTGGCCACCAGGGAGCAATCTCACATAGCAAAGCTGCAGCCTTCTGAGCTCTGGGGAAAGTAAAAGCCTTTCACTTTTTTTTTTTTTTTTTCCAGGACTAGTTTTCTCAGATTAGGGAGGAAATGAACAAAAAATATGGTCCAGATTAGCATCTATTATATAATACAAGAGGGCATGCATCCTAGGGGTTAAGACATAACCATGTCCACAACCAAATCCTTCCCAACATGTCAGAATGGGAGAAGCACTGAAAGAATGTGCTACTCTGGTTTTTAGTATATTTTGAAACGAATTTATTTACAGAGTAACATGATGTCACGGAGAACACAGCCAAGTACCACAGCAAACCAAAGGGCAGCACCACCTGGTCACAGAGGGGAGCTTTCATTGGTAGATTTATACAACTCTAAGTAGAAAGGTGAGTCTTCAGGAAAGAGCAATAGAAACAACATTTTCAAATATAAAGTGTGGGCAGAGCAATGGAGAATGAAAAAGACTGGAATGCAGACTGTCATGATTCAAATCACTGTGAAAGATGACATCTTGCTTCTGCCCTGATTTAGCACACAAATGCCATGCATATCAACAGAAAATCCCAAACCAGTGTGTCCACACACAACACTCTTTAAACTTGGTAAGGGAAGGGATAAATGAGTAGTATCTGGAGTAAGTTTTCTGAAGCAGTGTGGCATATCTTTTAAAAATGCTAACCTAATGCCTAGGGCTCGTTCAGCATTCAAGTTATCATGGGTACAGACACACACACACTTTCCACACACTATAAGGGCAAAGTGACTTGTTCATAATACAATAATATTCATAACAAAATATATGACTCTATACTTCTGCTAGATTAAAAAATTTCCAATCTTTTTTGATTCCCTGAAAGTTTCTTAAAGAAAACATGGATGTCGGAATGCAGGCCCCTGCAGTCCACCTAGGTAGAGAAAGCTTCTGGTAGTGGCTGATGCAAAAACCTACTCTAATCTCAAACAGCGGCAGAGAGGATGTGTTTAGCAGCTGAATAGCACCTTGTACGTTCTGGGCACTTAAAATACTAAATGAAAGTGATGATGAGTGGTAATCACCTCTGTAGGAAGGTTTATAAAACTACTATATGTTAAGAAATTTCTCAAGTGTTTTTTAAACCAACCTGTTTAAACTACCATATCTGTTTTTAAAAATCCTCAGCCTCAGTATCACAGGGATATGATGTTTCCAGGCTGAAGTTCATGCAACAAACACAGTCATGACAAGGGGAGAGGGAATAGTTTGTCCTTAAATACTAAGGAACTTCATAGTCTGCCCAAGACTTTCCTCCTCCTCATCTCCTCCCTCTTTTTGCCCCCTAATACACAAAATGGATTTATAAAAAATATTCTTTTTTGAGGATGAATTGCTTTATTAGCCAAATACCTTGAATGTATGTGAATTCTCCACCATGGTATGTCATAACTCAACCTCATCACTTTAGAAGCAGGACAAAAAGGCCTATTTTCTTTGGTACAATTTCTATCTAGGCTCTTGCACTGCAGCTCTTCTGCTTCCTGTATGGCACATTTATGGAATCCCCATTTTTGGCGCTGCCATAAACATGGACAGCTGAACTTCTGTGCAGACTTCAGGAGGAGCAGTACTTGAATTTGTCTTGGAACAGCACTATTGGCCTTTGAGAATATGAACTTCCATGAGGTAAATTTAATAACCCAGTTTTGTGGGAAGCCATCCTGTTCACTCATTAGGCTGGAGCAGAATTTTCAATCCTTATCAACTAGTGAGGGGAATATAAACATCTCAGACTTGGCCAAGGGAGTCAAATTCCTCTCTTCCCTCTCCAAGTATATTCATACTTTATTTATACATCTAGAATCACTTGGAATGTAGTATAGTATCATAAGTCCATCCCAATTTCTAGGACTAACCTGTATTTTTTTTTTCAGATCATTGCTGGTAAAATCTAGGGGGAAATCCTAGTTGCAGGTTACTTCCCAGCACCAAAGTATTCTTAATACCAATTTGGGAAGATGAGTGCAACCCTTCTATACCCTACTACTTAGTAGGCCTCAAAGATCTTTGATGGGAATCCTGTAACACTAAAAACTTTGAAATACAATTTTAGGTAGCTTTACTTCCAGATATTTCATGAATATTTCTAGAGGTTTAAATCTCAAACTTATTCTGAGTTTGGAAACAAAACTGATCTCCACTTAAATCTGACAATGAAAAGCTACTCAGACTCTTAAAATCCTAACCAATCTATTTTACTTTTAGATCCCTAACATCAGTAGTGTGGGAGTTTGTGCCCCCCTCTATACCTCACTCAGTTCATCTTCAGAGGGCAAAACTTGAAACCCAAGGCCATGCTCCTGGTTTCCAATGCTAACTTAGCTAGGGGTTGGTGGACCTATTCATGATTCTTTTTTTTTTAAATCCTCACCAAGGATATTTTTTTCCATTGATTTCTGGAGAGAGGGAGGGGGACAGAGAGACATCGACTGGCTGCCTCCTGCACACACCCCTACTGGGGCTGGGTACATGTCCTTGACCGGAAATCGAACACGTGACCCTTTGGCTGATGTTGTAACAACTGAGCAAAACAGCCAGGGCTCATGATTCTTTTATTGTTGATTCCACAGACTACAACTGCCCTTTTTCCATCCTGCTGTTACTCTTCATGAACTAGTGCCTGGGCATTGCATTACTGTGCATATACCAAAGGGGCTCTTCTCAATACTAGCATGGGAGATCACTCGTAGTCCTAGTCCTCTTTGTGGAACATCTGATTCTCTTCCTTCCTAGACTAGGTTATCACTTGGCTGAGGCACTCTGTTATACATTCAGTTTTGGACTTGGCTACTCCAGCCATTGTCCTGTTTCTCCAGCACCCAAATGATCAGAGAGATTGTTCTTGCTCATGTGGCTTAAGGAAAAGTTTCAATAGCAGCTTAATTGTTTAAACTCTCAAAATAAATGGAAGAAACTATAGTACAGACTTCAACAGAAAAGAAAAAAAGTTTCCAATCACTATTAAAGATTTGAAGTACTTGAAAAAGCTTAAAGTTTTATACTATTTACAATCCAAAACTCATCTCATACGCGCGCGCGCGCGTGTGTGTGTGTCTGTATCTTAGGATAGGGTTTCTTTTGGGTTCATGAATTCAAAGTTCCTATTACAATTAAAATAGAAATGCAAAAACAACATATATTTGAGATATTAGATTAACTGAATTACATTATTTTGGAAAAATATTCTGAGGATCAATGTTGAGTACTTCTTGCCCAGACATAAGTTACTTAGTCTATTTGGCTCTAACCTGTAACACCACCTTCCCTTTTCTCCCTCACATTCTTCTGCCATCACTCAGAGAAAAATTAATGTAGCCCCTTGTCTCTGAGAAGCCTGAGGCCCTTCTATGGTAGTTGGCATTTATCTTTTATACTTAAAAAAATTGAATATAAAAACAGTACTAAATATCTGATATAAAGGGGTGCTTGGTTTACCAGTGTTATATTATTATGGTAGATGGTGTCCATGCTTATTGTACTATAGAGTTAAAATGAGGAAGACTGGATCCAAGTCAAAACAGAAAGAAAAAGAAAAGAAAGAAAGAAAAGAAGTAGAGAACAAATAGAGGGATTAAGAGCCTTTCATCATTAAATATGAAACCTCATTAAATAGTCAACATTCAAATTTACATGGGCAAGGCACAAGAGTGACACTGAGAAAGTGTCTCAATATGCAAATCATCAGGGAATGGGGTTGCGGGGAGGGTGGCTGGGAAGGGAATGTGCTGGTTGACATGGTCAGTGGTCGGCATGCTGCTACTTCAGTGTATAATTAAGCAAGGAGTTATGTGCACATGGGCTATGCTACAGTGAACCAAACTCCAGTCTGTTAAGCAAAGCACAGCCATGCCACAGGACACTGAGAGAGAGTGGACTGCTGGCCTGCAGTGGCACGCCCACTCTGTGGCCACTTTTAGGGGCAGAGCTCTGCACTCTGACTAGAGGAGGCAATACTCATTGTGGGCCACCCAGCTCTCTCCTTTGGGAGTCCTGTACTGCTGGCAGGAGGACAAGGACAACCGCTAAATAGAGCCTCATGTCCCATTCTCTTAGAAGAAGAAAGAAGAAAGAAGAAAAAAGGAAGAAGAAAGAAGAAGAAGAAGGAGAAGGAGAAGGAGAAGGAGAAGGAGAAGGAGAAGGAGAAGAGGAAGAAGAAAATACAATCTTTTCTGTTCTTGATACTCTTTGATATAGGTGAATCACATGAAAGGCTGCTAAAAATGTTAAAAACAGAAATTTCAAAAGGCCACTAATGTGCTATCTAAGTAACACTGCACAGCCAGTCCTGATTTTAAGAAACCCTACACTAGTAGTTGAGGGTCCCAAAAGCTCCCTCACTGACTAGGTGCAGAGAACGTGTCTATCAAGTCTGCCACAGGTTGTTCTCCCAGAAGCCTGGCCCCTCTCTACTTCTATCATGCATGTGCACACACATAGGCACACATGTATATGGACACTCACATTGTCCGAGTGAATTCTGGGATTGCAAGACTGAAATAAACAGATACTTATAGTTTTGAATAAAACAAGCATAAACACACTCACACCCTCCCATGGAAGGTGTCTCTTCACACAAATATGTGTCAAGGGAAGAAGGGAAAGATTTCTATAGATTTTGCTTCACATAAAGTTGCAACATAAACACTGTAATACACAGCTAAAAAAATACATAGAAAAATTGCACATTTATCCATAGGAAAGGAGCACAGACCTCACATATGGTAAACAGCTTTCAGCCACCCAACTCAGCAATCAAAATTCCCTGTCATCTGTGCTCCAGAGCCATTTCAGAATCATAAGGAGCAATGTGCCAGGGCAACTGGGAGGCAGTCTCTCCAGAAAAGGTCTGTATCCTGAGGAGGTGGTCAGCAGCAGTCTTGTCCGTGGCCTTCTTCCCTTCTCCTGCCTCTAGCAATTATAATAGCCATCTGTGCCATGCCCTTTAAGGAAATCTTGTAGGTGGACTGACAGCTGTTTTATTCAGGGCAGTTGTCTATAGCATTTGGTAGACTAGTTAATACTGGCTACTGATAGAAGGAAGCTGGACAATTAATGCTTGACAGAAAAAGCTATAATCTGGGCACCACTAGCCCTGGTTGCCAACTTTGACAGTAATCAAAGAACAGTACTTTAAACTCTGTTCCCCAATGGTCCCTAGAGAACTGCACATGCTTTGTAACAAGTCACAGGTGGCCAATAACCCCAAAACTTCATTGGCAAGTGGGGACAGAGTAGAGGTGAAGGAGAATCAGGCAGTAGCAGCAGAGGGAAAATTGTTAGGGCCATCCTTCATGCAGTACACCTTATTGATAATAGAAATGAAAATGGGTCCATGATCGAAGGGATGGATTCTCTCCTTGTCCTTCTACTATCCACTGGAACGAAGAATATAGTCCCAGGAGCTAAAATTGGGTGGACACTAAGGATGATAGTTCTGCCTGGTAACAGAGGAAAAAAGTCTGCTGTGAGAGCTTAGTGGATGATGGTAAGAATTGGTCAAATCTATTGATTACTAGAGAGAATAAATACTTGATGTTAAAAAGACAGGTAAAATTCAGAATTATGGAGCAAATGGACATAACTCACTGAGTTCATACCAAAGGAGCTGTCCCTTAAAAATGTTCATTTTCATTTTTTACCTGCATTTGTGGGACAATTAGAGTGAAAAGTGTTCCAATGGGAAGTAAACTGAATGTTTGTGCAGTTGAATTTCTGTGAAGTTAAGACAGACTCAGCTTATCACTTGATTTGAAGCTGTGATAACCTTCTGAGGAAATGCATTTGTTCGTGAACAGGAATGAACAGTTTGTCTCTCTTCTTTCCTTGAATTCCATGTGAGTACTAGGATGTGCAAGTATGTGGGTGACTTGAAGAAGGAGAAGATAAAGTAAAAGCAGCAACCAGGATACATTACCGGTGTTGCAGGATTTTCACAATACAACTGAGAGAGTCAGGAGTAGCAAAAGCCAAATATTGAGCACATAACCAGTCCTCAAGGCTGATCCCACCCACCCTATCCAGGGACTTTTCAGCAAACTTGATCATCAGCAATGTTCGCTTGATGTCCAGCCAGTTTTGGAGCAGGGCATTCCTCTGCACTGGGCTGGAGGCAGTGGTGAAAGTCTGGAAGAGATCTTCCCTGGGGCCCCAGAGCAGACATTGGAGGACACCTTTGGCATCTGAAATGAGGATACGCTCAGAAGGGTTGGGGTTCAGGAGGCAGCTGGCCAGCTGCTGAAGGCCCCATGAATAAGGGGAGCGGAGTGGGATTTGAGGCAGGTCTGCTCGAGTGTACTCCTTCTCCTTCAGTTCTGGGTTCTCATCAAAGGGGTTGGGCAGGTGTAGCATCTCATAGATGAGGATCCCTGTCTGGAACTCATCACACTTTTTATACTGGGTGGCTGTTATGATCTCTGGGGCAAGGCGAGACTGGTCACGGAGGATCTCAGGATCCACCAGGTGGCTCTTCTGCTTAGCCTGAGAGAAGTTGCTTACTATAAGCCTCGTGAGACAAGATGAGGTGGGATTGAGCTCTTTAGGCCCAAGGCCTTGGGTGGTTCCCCCTAGCTGGTAGTGGACAAGCAGCAGATTCTCCAGACGTAGATCGCAATGAGTGACGTGGTAGGGTTTGAGGTGTTCAAGGCCGGAGCACAGCTGTAAGAGCAGCAGACACACTTGCCTCTCATACAAATCAGGGCTTTTCCCATGGTGGATTAGAGAGTCCTGCACAAAATCAGCCACGGTGAGATAGGGAACCTCTCTGGTGATGACTACAACGTGACTTCTCTGCTTTTTGCTAATGACCCCCTGGCTTTCTTTCTGGGATGACTCTGTTTCAAAGCATGACTCTGGGCTTTTCCCATCAATTTCTCTTTTTATATCTTCTTCATTCTCTTGAATTTCATTCTCTTCCTCTTCAGGGGCATCAGGATCTTCCCAGGGAAGCAGACGCTTAGGGACTTCAGCAAGGAAATGACCACAGTCCTGCTGGATGTTAAAATGGACAGCCAGACTCTGCCGAACAGCCAAGCTGTGATAATACTGCTGAGATTCTTTAGCTTTGCTCTTACAGATCTGAAAGAAGAAAGCAAATAATACAATTTAAAATACACACACTTTCATAACTAGGCTTTTGATGTGCAAAGGAGGATTAATGGGAAGGTGACTGGTTAGGAATAAAGTGTTACAGTGAAGTCTTCAGAAAGGGTAGTCCTGTGCTGAATGACAGTAATAACTACTGTCTACATGCTTAGCACTTTATGTGTATTATCTATAGTCCTCATATTAACCCTTCAAAGTAGGCTGAGTATCTAAGAATTAAAAAAAAAAGTGCAAGGGCAGCTCAGTGCTATCAGTTTGCACCTTCTTCCCTTACCCAGTATTTTCTCTACCAAGTATGAAAGTAACTTCTTAGACTCCCATTTTCATTTACCATTAGTCAGGAGAGTATCATGTGATGGTTACCACTCAGGAACTCATGATCACTGGCAAGTTAGCAATAAAGATTTGAGAGAATCAATGGCCTAACCTAGTCAGAACAAAACCAACATTTCAATGGCAGGATTTTGAGTTTCATGTTTTCTCTTAACATACCTTATTTAAGGCATAATATTCAGGCAATAAGTCCTTTCAAAGGAATTTTATTTTATTTTTTATTGTTTTATTGCTTAAAGTATTACAAAAGGTATTACATATGTGTCCCTCCCCATTTTTTCGGACAAGGGGTTAATTTCGAAAAGCACTCATACAACTCAACATCATAAAACAAATAATTCAAATAAAAACTGGGCAGAGGATCCAAGTAGACATTTCTCCCCAGAAGACACACAGACACATGAAAATAAGCCTGGGGTGGGGCAGAGACTAAGTGAAGGGCGACCATGGGGGTTGTAAATGGGGGATATCTGTAATAGTATCAAAAATAAAATATAAATATCATTAATTATCCAGGAAACATAAATCAAAACCATAATAAGATATCACTATCATTCTGATATAACCTATCAGAATGGCTGCTATAAAAAAGACAGCAAATGACAAGTGTTGGCAAGGATGTGGAGAAG